GAGAGAGAGAGAGAGAGAGAGAGAGAGAGAGAGAGGGCGTCTTTTCCGTCTTTTGCCATTCTCTGGATGATTGTCTTTTTTTTTGGTCGCCTTTTTTTAATCGTTTTTTTGTTTTTGTTTTTAAACACAACAGTCTACTGATGGGGGTGGTAAAAGCAGCCCCCCCTAGCAGCTGTCCCTGGTGACTCCCATCTATTGGTGGGGAGCAGCACCTGCTGGTAGAAACCGGCTCCAGAGTCTCTGTGCATCATTAATCAATCCTGAGAATAGTCCGCCAGCATTGATTACCCCTGGTTTCCCAGGGGAATTGACTGTGCGGTTTTATAATATAATAAGCTGCAATTAAAAAAAAAATAAAAAAAATTGACTGTGCGGTGAGAAAATTCTCACCGCGGTAACAGAGGCGTCTCTTTCGTGCGCTGGCCTTCCTACAGTTGTGCCCGTTAACAAGCCACGATTTTAGGAAACGTACGGGCCACTAGAGGAGCGTCGAAATTCATCCGACAGCTAGAAACGTTTCTATTCTATTTTTTCCCGCGGCCGATAGCTGGGCGAAGTACTGGTGTGGTTTAACCTTTTCCTTTTTTTTTCCTTTTTTTTCCCTTTTTTTCCCCTTTTTTTCCCCTTTTTTTCCCCTTTTTTTTCCTAATTTCGGTTACTTTCGAGTCTGGAGGATTGCCATGCGCTCGTATCATATTCTTGTCCTTCATCGCCCAACCTCTCTGGCACTTGAAGAAGGACAAGAGGTTGGGGGGGATGGAGGAGAAGAATTTGGTGGGAGCGACAAGGGTGGAGGGAGGAGGGGGGAGGAGGGGGGAGGCAAACACGCGTAACAGGGGTGTGCAGAGGTGGAGTAGCGGCAGGGCACACACATTCGAACTATGGCTTGTGGGCGGTTTGTTGCTCACAGCAATCATGGCTTTGTTTTTTTTTGTTTTTTTTTTTAACGCTTCCTCCACTCCTAGTGGTGCTGATAACATCCTGTCAATGCTCTTGTGAATGACAGTTGTGGTGTCAGTTCCCGCAGCTACCACAATGCGTGGATGACCGGCTTCCCCCTCATTGTAGAGCTGGAATGCCTCATATATGGCAATCTCAGCCTCGTATCTACGCTTGTGGGCGGTTTGTTATTCATCCAGGTCTCGCCGTGTTTGCAATCAGATACATTTAGGAGAGTCCTAGTGATTGGTGGAGGGACATATCTACGATCCTTTTACTGTGATTGTCGTTTTTTTTTTTTTTTTTTTAAATCGAAACCAGAACCTCACGGTTCTCGCTCCATGTCCATTCTGGTGGGCCATCATCAATCCCGTTCCTATTCCACCGACAACTCAAAGCCATTATGAGTGTGCACGCGCGGGCACAGGGCTGCCCCTTCTTCCTTCTTTTGTGAGTGTGCACGCACTTTGCTCCCCAAGAAGGGCCATTATATACTCTCTCTGATTGTTGTCGTAATGGCTTATTTCTGCAGGCACGCGTGGGCACAGGGCTGCTCCTTCTTCCTTCTTTTGTGAGTTTGCTCGCGCTTTGCTCCCCGACAGAAAAATGTCCATTTTGCGACCAGGGGGCTTCCGACCCCCCACCTACAGGAGCAGGCTCTGCCATGAAGAGTAGGATAAGAATGAAAGATAAGGATAAGAATGAAAGATAAAATACTAACAGGCTCTGCCATGAAGAGTAGGATAAGAATGAAAGATAAGGATAAGAATGAAAGATAAAATACTAAGTAGTAAACCATAATGTGAATGGATGCTCCCCTGTGATGTGGGATTCTTATTCTTGTTCTTTCATTCTATCATCATCATCATTATCATCATCATCATCATCATCAACCAGCACCATTTTCCTTTTCTTCTTCGTCTTCTTCTTTGTCACCGTCATCTTGTCCACTTCTCCCAAATCCGCCTTAGCGACGTCAGCTGCTTCGTTGTTGTAGTCATCGACGCCGTCCTCCTCCTCCTCCTCCTCCTCCTCCTCCTCCTCCTCATCATCATCATCATCATCATCATCATCATCGTCATCATCGTCACTATCACCCCACCTTTTCCCCTCCACCCTCCACGCTTTCTCCGCCGTCGCGCCAGCGTCACATTATCTCCACTGTCGTCCTCTTGGCGCTCAAGTGTCACATAACCTCTCTCTCTCTCTCTCTCTCTCTCTCTCTCTCTCTCTCTCTCTCTCTCTCTCTCTCTCTCTCTCTCTCTCCCCCCCTTTACCATGTTTCTCTCTGCTACGCTTGCTCTCTATTCCACTCCTAATTCCTCCATCTATATGTACTGTCTTTTGTCTCTCTGTCTCTCCTCTTCAACCCGTCTCCGCATACTCTGTTACATCACTATTAACAGCGTGCTATCATCGCAGACGATTGTCTGGGCACGCTGTGCCACATTTTACGTCGCTATCGTTGCACCTGAGAGACGCCGTAAAAACGGAAAGCTGCAAGAGGAAAGGAAAAACATGAAAAAGTAGCCAAGAAGAAGGAAGAGAGAAAAAAAAAAAAAAACATCACAGGGAACGATGCAAAAATACTGTTCCAGCATTCCTCGTGTGATTCCTAACGGCATACTTACTCATACTAGGATTTTTTTTTTTTTTTTTTTTTAATACTAGGATTTTTCCAAATGTATCTGACCATGTTGATTGCTAGATTCAGGGTTGAAAGTATCAGTCCAAGCATCTGGCAATTCGATTTGCGTGTCAGGTCCTCTTGATAACAATGTCCCATATTCCCCCAAATAAAATTAACGGTCATTATAGGGGCTGTATTTCTGACAAATTTCAGTCCAGATGCAGCAATAATTACTGTAGGTTTGATTCGGGTGAAGACGACAGGGCTCTATCCAGTCACTTCTCAGCTTCCTCTTTTCAGCTTTTCCTCTTTCGAGCTTTTTTTTTTTTTTTTTTTTTTTAACAAAAGGACGAGATCATTTCATTACGAAGAGTAAGAGGCCGGGAATCCTCAACAAACAACCCGCAGCATGGTCCCACTAGCAATGGGGATTGGATTAAGATCCTGAATCTGGGCGTGTTTTAGGCAGAATCTCGATTTTCTGCACTTGTCCACAAACGCGGCCAGATTCAGGCGTTCAATCCAATCCTCTTTGCTAATGGGACCATGCTCCCGGAGTGTCTAACCCTCCCTGAACCATCTGGGGCCATCACCCAGTTCGGCTTAGGCGTTGGGAAGACGTCCACAGACAGAACTGGCCAGTGCGAGACCGCTGCTCTTTCGAGCTTCCATTTGAGCTTCCCTCTTTTTTTTTTTTTTTTTTTTTTTAATAAAAGCCCTTGTGCAAAACCTCCTCTATCCTGGTAGTGTGGTAAGATCACCCCCGAGATTGAGGCTTTTTGCGGACCGGGCTTCCTCCCATCTCTTGGTGGGGAGCCACACCTGCTGGAAACCAGGGTCCAGTTTGGCTGTACCATGATGTGCAGCAGTCTAACTCTGGTCAGTGGTGTGGTTTTGCTTGCATGTCAGATGTGTGTCAGTAACCCCATGCTACAGCCAAACTGCACCCGGTTTTCAGGTTAACACAGGTCATTCTGGAGTTAAGACAGATTGTTGTCCCTGCCTGATTTCAGGTTAACAAAGGTCATTCTCGAGTTAAGACAGATTGATGTCCCTGCCTGCTTTCAGGTTAACATAGGTCATTCTCGAGTTTGGAGGGGCACATGGAGTTGGTGTGGAAGTGGAAGGCACACCACAGCTAACCTCGTGATCACACTCTGATCACTGGATCACGGAGAGGCAAGACCTGTGTTCAGCAGCAAGCAAGCTCATCAGGCAGAACCCCAGGTTGCAACCAACCCTATTGCCAGGAAGGGAGGAGGGGTTAGGCTCCGAGGTGGAATTGGTGGTGGTCCCCTTTGGGCTGGCTCCAGTGGCCGGAACCCAGGCTGGGACCAGTAGGTGTGGAGTTCAAGGTGGGACTAGTGGCAGAGTGACCCATCAAGGTGCAACTGGTGGTCCCACTTGGCACGTGGCACTCGTCATTGAAACCCAAGGTGGGACTAGTGGCAGAGTGACCCATCAAGGTCCCACTTGGAACGTGGCACTCATCACTGAAACCCAAGGTGGGACTAGTGGCAGAGTGAACCATCAAGGTGCAACTGGTGGTCCCACTTGGAACGTGGCACTCGTTACGGAAACCCAAGGTGGGACTAGTGGCAGAGTGACCCATCAAGGTCCCACTTGGAACGTGGCACTCGTCACTGAAACCCAAGGTGGGACTAGTGGCAGAGTGAACCATCAAGGTGCAACTGGTGGTCCCACGTGGAACATGGCACTCGTCACGGAAACCCAAGGTGGGACTGGTGGGCAGAAACCGAGGTGGATCCTTTGGGCCTCAGAACCTGTTTGGGAAGGCAGGAGAGGTCCCTGGACGGATCCTTTGGTCCCAATCACTACGAGCGGGCTGATGCTTGGAGTGTAATCACAAGGAATGACTGGTGGTCGGAACAGATCATGAGCCTGTGTGGCTGAATGATACACACATGCAGCTGGTGATGAACAGATCATGAGCTCGATTCCTGATGAAATCAGTAGAATAGAGGATGACCAGTTCAGTGCAGGTGCTACCGGTAGTCAGTGATGTGTGAGTACAACAGAGATATGCCCGATCCGCTCCCCAAGGTGACCGTGAATGCGCCGGCCAACGGTATAGAAGTGGAGGTGCCTGACAGACTGACACTGCGACAACAGTTCACAGCTACTCCTTTTCCGAGTGAGAGGATTGCGTGATTGGATTGGATTGCTGTTTCCATCTGCTGGCAGAAGAAGAAGAAGAACAGGCTGTCAGGGTCCCAAATTAAAAAAATAAAAAAATAAAAAAAATCGATTCGGCGTTTTAAGTTTGAAACTCGTTGAACCTCGACAATCTTGACCGTTGTAATTTTGCTTACGTTGATTATGGTCTGGCATTTTTCTGATGATGTGGCAAGGAATTCATTTCTGAGAAGAGGCAGTCGGCTGCCGCTCGACGAGGTCGCAGAATCTGCCTTCGTTGCTCCAAGGGACCCAGGTCTCATACCCTGGGTGTATATATGTATGTATTTGCCTCAATGAGGTGGAGGACCAAAACTGTCCTCAGCGGTCGAGGAAGTAAGGGGGTTGGAAGAGTTATAAGGAGTTAGTGGGACGTACGTGAGTGGAAGACAACAGGACCGTCTGGCCGAAGGGTAAGGTGTGGATGAGGTGGACGGCATAAGCAGGGGCCCCGGGGGGAAAGGGGCAAAACGGGGACGGCCGGCTCTTCTGCCAGCTGGGGGCCTACATCCAGCGGCAAGCACAGTGTCACGAAGCTGGATGAATGTTGTGCTTGAAAGCTCAATCCACATCACTGGCCACTTCTCTCCGGCCTCAATTGGCATCTCGCTTGCCCGGTGCCTTATGGACTGGCTGCGGGTCACTTAACGTATTTATGCCGTACGGGGGGGGCCACAAGGTGCGAAATAAGTGCCGAGCTATGAGTGCAACGCTACTCTCAATGTTAAACGGAGGAAGGGTGTCACTGATTGACTGTGGTAATATCCTTGACGGTGGCGGTATAGGGACGGTGGGCGTCAGCGGCGATCAGCGTAAGGTGACTTTGGGCATGACGCCTGTTACTACAGTGAGTAGCTCGGCAGCTCTTGCTGCTGATGATGACGCTGCAGTTTCAAGCTCTGAAATAGGCAGTTCACCTGCAGACGCCTCGTCTTATTCACTTCTTGGCGTTCCCACAAAGTGTAATCAAACAGCGAGCAATAGCGATGCGGACTTCAACAAGAAGAAGCCGATCTTTTCCTTCGGAGTGGTCACCGATGTGCAGTATGCGGATATTGAAGATGGGAGGTCTTTCAGTGGAGTTCCGCGCTACTACAGACACAGTCTCACAGCCTTGGGTAGGGCCATCCAAAACTGGAACGAGCTTGGCTACTTGTCCTTTGCCGTTCACTTCGGTGACATCGTAGATGGCTTTTGTCCCAGAAAGGAGTCCAGTGCTGCGGTCGACAAAGTAGTCCGAACCTTTAACCGTTTCAGAAGCGGCCCCGTGTATCATATGATAGGCAATCACTGCTTGTACAATCTTCCCCGAGCATCCCTCAACGAGATACTGCAGATCCCTACGGCGCCAGACTGCCGATCCTACTACTCTTTCACCCCTTGCAAAGGGTTCAGATTTGTCGTTTTGGACGGTTACGACATAAGCCTGCTCGGATGGCCGGAGGATCATCCGCATGCAGTTGAGGCAGCACTGGTGCTAGATAAGGGCAACCCGAACGAGAACAAGAACAGTCCGGAAGGTCTACGGGGTCTCGAAAGACGGTTTGTTAAATTTGGTGGCGGCATCAGTACTACTCAGCTCGAATGGCTAGATAACATTCTCAAGGAAGCAGAGGCCGAGGAGGAGAAGGTCATCATTGGCTGCCATCTCCCAATGGACCCAAGATCGACGGACCCAATTTGCCTTCTGTGGAACTACGATGAGGTACTGAGGGTACTCCACAACCATTCATGTGTTGTGGCAACATTCGCGGGACATGCACACACTGGCGGATATGCGGTAGATAAGCATGGAATCCATCATCGGGTTCTTGAAGCAGTTTTGGAATGTCCTCCGGGTAGTGATGCTTATGGACATGTGGATGTCTTTGAGGATCGGCTGGTCTTGACTGGAACTGGCGCCCTAGTGAGTTCAGTTATGCATTTCACTGGACAGCAGAAGGCAACCATGAGGGACGAAAGCTGAACAAACTGCCCCATGAACTCCAAAATGCAATGGTAAACGTCGTGTGCGCGAATGGGAGGAAGGGTGGAAGATATGTAGAAACTGTATGTGGGATGATGATATAAGGGGCGGTCTTTGAGCAGTTGCAACCTTCGTTTTAGCAAGTCGCTCAGAAGCGAATGTGTGCAAGTCAAAAATACTGGCGTCACGAAGGGAACCACCAACTTGTAAGACCGATGAAGGAAGCGATTGAGGGGAATTGTAGGGGAAAGAAAGGAGAGGGGTAGGAGGAGGACCGGGGGGGGAAAGGCGAAAACACACAGAGAGAGAGAGAGAGAGAGAGAGAGAGAGAGAGAGAGAGAGAGAGAGAGAGAGAGAGAGAGAGAGAGAGAGAGAGGTTGAAGAACTTCTATCCTGGAGCATTGTACTTTATTCTCCGTTGGAGATCGTCATCAACTCTCCAAATTGGAGAGTATCGTTTTTCGTGTACGTTGGTCATTACCTCTATCTGAGCGTTCAAGTGTTCTTGTTGATCGCTTTGAAGAATTATTTTTCCAATTCCTGCCCATCGAAGACATTGTAGATATATTTTGTCAGGATCGGGTTTATGTGTGATGTGATGGCAGAGCCTCTGTGGTTAAGCTCTTGGGTCACTATTACCTTGCATCTTGTTCTTGTTCTTGTACTCCTATTCTTTTGGGAGATAAACTGCATTCTCCTGACCCTGATTGGGACAGCCTGCTGTTTTCAGTGCCACTTTCTCTATGTGTGGGGAGGAAGGATGCAACCCTTAACCTCGTATAATAAAGCCATGTTCTTTTTAACCTTTGGTGGACCAATTTCTATTTTACCCTTGGTGGACCAATGTCTATTTTACCCTTGGTGGACCAATTTCTATTTTATCCTTGGTGGACCAATTTCTATTTTACCCTTGGTGGACCAATTTCTATTTTACCATTGGTGGACCAATTTCTATTTTACCCCTGATGGACCAATTTCTATTTTACCATTGGTGGACCAATTTCTATTTTACCCCTGATGGACCAATTTCTATTTTACCCTTGGTGGACCAATTTATGACCTGGCAGGGAACAGATCAGGAGTCACTGACATGTCAGAGAGTCGGTTGAAAGTGGGAATCGAAGGTTTCGGTTATGGGAAGCGTTGGCATTAGGCGGTTTATGATTAGTAGGTCGTCGTATTATGACCAAGATTAGTGAGTGCAAAGGGTCATGAGTTAGCCTAGGCCAGTGGTGAAGTAGTTGCTAACATGTGATTGATCCGTGCGCAGGATTTGGGGCTCACTTCAAGAAGTCAGAGCGGGTGAGCACTCGTCGAATTTATGGTATAGGTGTTGAACCAGGTTGTCAGGAGCTTTTCACCGCTAAGTCATCGCTTCCATTTCATGTGGAAATATTGGACTCTTGCATTAATTAACCATCTTTTCTTGAGGATTGTATTGTATGATGGATGTTGCGATAAACAGGTAAGCTTGAATGAGTGAATGGATATGCTTAGAACTATGCAATGTGTGCTGCTGATAACCCCTCCTTTTTTTTCACTGACAGTCATTTTGTTGTGTCATCCTTGCTTAGGGGCCAGGCTAATCTTCTCTCAGTTCTCTGTATCGTTCCAATTTTAACGTATGTCCCAAAGGACGACAGTCATTTTGGTGTGGTCTTGCATGGACTTTTTTTCTTTTCTTTTTTTAAATCACCCAAGCCCCTTCTATTCTGGGGGGCGTCAGTCCGGTTGCTTATAACCGGCAAGCATGAGTAAAAGGAAAAAGGACTTTCATTTACTGTGCAATGTACTTTCCACTCTTGGTGGTGATGCACAAATTGGTGCAGATCCAAGAAACCACCTAAGAGGCCAGCAACACAAGTCCAATGCAGTGCGGAAGTGTGAAAACAATCCTTCCGACTCATATCGAACACATCATCATCACTCCGAGAGGCAAGGAGGGTAGCATACATGGATGATGATCCCTCCTTCCACATATGCATACCTGGGAAGATGGCCATCGATGACGAGGAAGCAGAGGAGGACGAATGTAGAACAAGGCAAGAGATAGTCTGGATGCAACAGCTGAAATGATAATAATCTCTCTCAACTCGCAATTTATCTTCAAATCAGTGCAGAGTCTGAACTGGAAGTTCTTCTGAAATAGTCACCGAGTCTCTCTCTCTCTCTCTCTCTCTCTCTCTCTCTCTCTCTCTCTCTCTCTCTCTCTCTCTCTCTCTCTCTCTCTCTCTCTCTCTCTCTCT